ACACGGTGTGGGGGCGGAAGAAGCAGCAGCAGCAGCACCTGCGAATGTACAGCGGGGGCAGCGGCGGCGGGGGGGCCCTCAGCAAGTCCCCCGAGACCTGCGCGGGCGCCTCGCGTCCCTACGGGCTGGCCGGGGCGGCCGAGAAGGTGAGCTCCTCCCCCTTGAACTGCATGCACGGCAACTTCTCGGTGGGGCAGTACTTCGCCCCGCCTTGGAACAGCATCTTGGTGACCCCCAACAGCGACTGTTACAACCCACCGGAGCTGGGGGCCGGTGCCCGTGAGCTGGGGGTGCCCCCGGCCGAGGGGCTGCCCAGCAAGACCCTCTGCAATACCTCCATCCTCAGCAGCAGCCTCCAGTCCCTGGAGTATCTCATCAACGACATCCACCCGCCCTGCATCAAGGAGCAGATGCTGGGCAAGGGCTACGAGACCGTCTCTGTGCCAAGGCTCTTGGACCACCAGCACGCCCACATCCGCCTGCCCGTCTACAGATAAGGAACCGATGCTGCTTTTCCCGAGGCGAGGACCGCGCGGGTACCGGACCGTGGCAGCGAGGGGCTGGGGAGGGGGGGAACACGGGGGGGCAGCTCCCGGGACAACTGGCATTACCCCAGGATCCCCAGACTGGATACACTCAGAAGCTGAGGACGAAGGGACTGCTTGTCTATATAGCTCAGAAATCATTTTTATCTCCACGAATGTGAACAGGGAATCGCTACGAGTTGCTGCTATCCAGGGCGAGGAGGCTCCGCGGGGCCGGGGCGGGCGCAGGGACCTTGTGCCTGACCTGTAGCTGAAGTCCGTAACTTGCACTGCTTTGATTAAAGCTAATAATTGGGGACAGTCTGGAGGCTATTTAAAACACTTGAAAACTTGAACAGATTGATTATTATTTTTTTTGTTTTGTTTCGTTTGGTTTTTTTTAATTTTGATTTTCTCTCTTTAGTTACTAGGCTGTACATCTCCGTGTTGGCTGCTACAGAGTCTCCTTCTCCCTCCTCATCCTCCTCCTCTCACCCAGCCCCCTGCATGGGCCACTGGCTCCTATTCCCACTCATTTGGGAGCTGGACCCCCCCAGCCCCTCTCCAGCCCCCCAGCCCTGCCAGGAACCCCCTGGCTCTCACATTTCCAGGCTGTTTGTTGTTTTTTTTCCCCTCTTTACTATCAGTTCTACCTTGGTTAGGTTAGTGGCACCCACAGTACCCGGGGTGCTCACATACCTCCTTTTTTCTCTCTTTATTTTTTTAAACCAGTTCCAAAATGCTCATTCTGGTCCATTCCTCACTACGTGTAATTATGTGTTTAATAGATTTATTCATTTAAAACGGCTGACACACACAAAATACAAAGTGTTTTGATGTTTTAAGGAAAAAACCTCCTTTTTTCTCTCTTTATTTTTTTAAACCAGTTCCAAAATGCTCATTCTGGTCCATTCCTCACTACGTGTAATTATGTGTTTAATAGATTTATTCATTTAAAACGGCTGACACACACAAAATACAAAGTGTTTTGATGTTTTAAGGAAAAAAAAGAATACCCTGATGAAACCCAAGGTGATTGTGCTCAGAAAAGAGGTACTGTATCCCTGAAAGGCCTGTTCAAGCACTAAGTGCATTTACAAATCTCTGAGAATGTTTTTCTTTTTTTTTTTTTTTTTTTTGCATTTAACTGGATTTATATTCTATGCTAAACTGCATATGCAGATATGCAAGTTATTTATGGAGAGGTTCAGAAAAAAAGCAGTTGCATCTAAATAAGAGCTAGACAATTTAATTTCATACAGATTATTGTATTTGGTGAGTCAGTCAATATCAATATAAATGTCTACCATTAAACTGCAAAACAAAAGGACTTTCATCCTAAGTGAGAAGATCTTTCTTCCATGGTGTTTTCTTAAAACACATAAAAGCACATTTTTACACCACAGGTAATGAACTTGCGGAATTTGTTGGTACAGGAGGTTGTCAATGCAGGTAGCACCAGGATGTTTAGCAAATAAAAAGATTAGGCAAATATGCAGAGAAGAGACCTGTATAGAGACACTAGAGGCACTGATAGGGATGTAACCACTGACCTCCCAAGGAAGCATCGTCGTCTCTAGGCAGAACTGCGTAGATGGACCAGGAAAGCAGCTCTCCCTGAGCAGTACCTTGGCTCACCACTTGGGGACAGCTAGATTGGTCTTCCCAGTCACAGACTCACAGAGTGACTTCCCAGTAAGACATTTATCACTCTCTTTCAATGTATGAATTTAAATCCTATCAAAGGAGCTATACCAGGATGAGAAATGGAACACGACTTCCGGGAATGCAGACTAATGGGATTATTAGCCTTTACAACTCTGAAAAGAGCCTTCCACTTTTAGCATTTGTCACATTCCAAACCCTTCAAAAAAAGGTATAGCCCACAGATTTTTAATGGCCTTTTTACAGGTAGTCAGCATCTTCTTCCCTCATAAATATAAATCCAAATTAAACTGGTAGTTGGCATGGGTTGTTGTGGGTTTTCTTTGCCAAAATGAAAAGGCTGGATTAAACTGCCATGAATTGTACCTGTATCCACTTTACAGAAAGGGCTGGTAAGGTAGTACCTAACATATGTAACCAGTTGGTTTTATTTGAGGGCACAGTGCATTACACATGGTTTCTGGCTCAGGTTGCATAATTGCCACATACATTTTCCCTTTTATAAACAAGGGAATATAATATAAAATTATACCCTTTCAAATTCATAAATCACTCTGATAAAACCATTGATGTTATTAAAACATCTAGCATTGTCGTTTGTATCAATGCACTTCTTTACTGCTTTAGATAATATAGCATATTGTTTAGTGACCTTACTTCATAAAGACAGTGTATTCTAAAAGGAGCTGCTTCTGTATGTTATTGCTTGGATAATATTAAACATCTCAAAATGGTCTACAATTCTAGAAACAAATATATTCTTGATAACTGTAAAATTGTCATGGGAGTTACTCTTTTCTGCTAATACTAATGCTGTACATCATTGTGAAGGATAAAAACATTTCAGTAATCAGTTTTTGAGTTTGGAAGGTATTACCATGTAGCCAACAATATGATATTTTTAGTTTTATTCTGGTGTAACTGTAATTAAATTACCAAGTCTAGGTCAAAACAGGAAATAATTCCTCTTAAAATACTGATGGAGTAATAATTTTGTATCATATTAATTTATAGACTTGGAAAATCTTTGGGTGACATTAATAGAGCTCAATGTAATTTTTAGCATTACTGCTGTTAATTAGTAATAATAGTGTCTGCAAGCTATGCAATGTTCTTTATTTGCCTTAGAAAGTGAGGTTTCCAAACTTACGTCATTACCCCTACGCATCTCAGCCACATAGTCATATCCACAAGTCTGGCTGTTAATTAGCCATCACACTTACTTCAGAGTCTCTGAGACACAGAAGAGAGGCCAGTGTTGAGTGTCTCCCATATAATACATTTCTCCAGTGTTACCTCTCCCTTAGAATTATTAAATAACCAAAACCGTGTCAAAGAAAGAGGAAATGAGATTCTGTTTCCATTCTGTCTTTTCAAGAATCCACCAAGTTCCTTAAAATTATGGTTCTCCTCACACAAATAAGAGGTGGCCTGCTGTTCATGCGCAGGGCTTGCATCCTCCAAGCACTGTATATTCACAACAGGCAGAAAAGAAAAGGAGAAAATTACCAAGGCAAGTTTTGTAGTGTAAATTGCATCCTGGCTTGAGTAAGGCACAGTTTCTAAAAAGAAAGATAAAGTTACTCCTGCAGCAGTGATTTGACTGGAGATACAATTAGAATTGTATGGTTTTTGTTTCTCAGCTTTTCTAGATTTTGGACAAACATTAAAAATACAACAGTACTATGCTGAAACTTTTGACAATGCAGTTAGAGGCTCTATCTCACATTCAGGTGGAAGAAATACATTGGGGATGTTTTCTGTCATCAAAATCCTCAAAACTATAAAATTATAAGAATATTTACATTTCAATCTTGAACACAATTTCAAATACATTAATTCCAGACTTAGCTTTAATTTTGTACCTAACACAGATCTGATTTCTTGTTTTTTCATATAGCTTTCCTAGACTTTGAAACTGAATCTTGGACTCCAGGCCATTCCTTGTCCTCTAAATATTGCTGTTGTTGTTGTATTTGGTACTGTGTGCTTTTATATAGGCACAGTAACTGTCAGAGACTAATACTGCATGTTCCTCAATTGCTGCCCACAAATCTGACATTGTGACATCTGAAAGAGCTGAAATTTCCTGAATGTTCATGGACAGTAAAGTGAACAATGTAGGCTCAATTTTTTGCAAGTTTCAGAGCTTGTTAAGTCAATTAAACAGTCATGGAATAATATATATACTTTTATGACTACAGATCTTAAAGATAAGTTGTTGGTTTCTGATAATTTAAGTAATTTGATCAATATAATCGTTGTTCAGTTGTATTCCTTATTGTGATTTCCTACTCAGCCTTGTATCTCCCTCTGAATTTATAGAAGTAGAAGACTATCGGTGGGCATGTTTTGAATGGCAACTCTTACATATTTCTCTTTGATCTTATAAGCACTTTTTCAAAAGCATCATACTCAAATTCACCTGTAGCACTTGTAACATAATACAGTGTATGTGGGAAACCCAGTTTCTGTACAAAACTTCAGTTCTGTCTTTAAAAACAGGCATTTTTCCAAATATCCTGAAAACACTTTCCAGAAGTCAGTTTCAAAATGTAACTATGCATATGTCTTCACCTCATAGTATTTTCTTAGAGAACTGGAAAAAAAAAAAAAAAAAAAAAA